TAGGGTAAGGTTTTAGCTTTATTTTTACATTTTTCGATCACAGCGCGATGTTTTCGTCGCGCTGTGATGACGTCAAATGCGCGCTTTCGTCGAGCGTGATTTTGTCCTCCACAATTTTGTGCTGGAACCGTGTTTTTCAACCTCTGTCACTTTAAGATGCCTGGACTTCAACTCCCAGAATTCCATGCTTATGTGAACTTCAACTTCCAGAATTCCATGCTTTATGTGGATTTCACCTCCCAGGATTCCAGGTCTTAAGATATGTGGACTTCAATTGATGAAGCATTTATCACAGGGTTTTTCCGTCTTTACCGCTTTAAGATGCGTGGACCTCAACTCCCAGAATTCCATGCTTCTGTGAACTTCAACTCTCGGGATACTGTGCTTAACATAGATAAACTTCAACTCCCAGCATTCCATGCCTCTATGAACTTCAACTCCCATGGTTCTACCTGCTTAAGACAGGTGAGCTTCAACTCCCAGAATCCCATGCTTCTGTGAATTTCAAGTTTCAGGGTTCTCTGCTTAAGACAGGGGAACTTCAACCCCCAGAATTCCATGCTTCTGTGAACTTCAACTCCCAAGGTTCTACCTGCTTAAGACAGATGAGCTTCAATTCCCAGAATTCAATGCTTCTCTGAACTTCAACTCCCAGGGTTCTACCTGCTTAAGACAGTGAACTTCAACTCCCAGAATTCCATGCTTTATGTGGATTTCAGCTCCCAGGAGTCTTAAGTTTAAGATTCCATGTTTTATGTGGATTTCACCTCCCAGGATTCTAAGTTTAAGAGGTGAACTTCAATTCCCAGAATTCCATGTTTCTGTGAACTTCATCTCCCAGGGTTCTAGCTGCTTAAGACAGGTGAGCTTCAACTCCCAGAATTCCATGCTTCTGTGCTTCTCCCAGGATTCCAGATCTTAAGATCTGTGGACTTCAATTGATGAAGCGTTTATCCCAGGGTTTTTCAGCCTTGGCCCCTTTAAGACGCATAGACTTCAACTCCCAGAATTCCATGCTTTTGTGAACTTCAACTCCCAGGGTTCCATGCTTAAGAGAGGTAGACTTGGTGCCCTCTGAACTTGGTTGTTATGTTCCAGACATTTCATTACCCAAACTAGTTGACATCCCCAGTGTTAGACTTCAATTCCCACAATTCCAAGCTGACTGGGGAATCCTGGGAGTTGAAGTTCACAGAGCCTCAAATTTCCGTTGCTAAGAGAGGCATTGTGTGAAGTGAGTCTTGCCCCTTCTTACAACCTTTCTTGCCCCCGTTGTTAAAGTGGATCGCCGCAGTTGTTAAGTTAGGAACACGGTTGTTAAGGGAAACTTGACTTTCCCCATCCGGTTGTCTTGTCAGAAGGTCGCAAAGGCGGGATGGCATGACTCCAGGACCTTGCAGCCGTCGTAAACATGAATCAGTTGCTCCGTTTGCATGTCAGAAGGTCACACAATGGGATCACATGACTCCAGGACATTGCAGCTGTCATAAACATGAGTCAGCTGCTAAGTTTGCTCGTCCGGTCGCAAAGCGGGGGGAATCAAATGACTCCAGGACCCTGTAGCCGTCGTAAACATGAGTCAGTTGCTAAGTTTCTTTATCAGAGGGTCACAAAGGGAGAATCCTGTGACTCTGGGATCAGCGGCGGGTTTCACATTTTCACACTACCGGTTCGCTCCGCGTGGGCCTGCTTTGAAGGCGCGCGTACCGCATTCCGTGCGTGTGCCCGGCCTTCCCCACATGCGCTTTGCTCACGCGCTCTCCTTCCGCCCATGCGCCCAGCCTAAATAGGACAGCATAGAGCCGGGGCAGGTCCACCGCAATTTCCGCCCAGAATTTCTGCAACCGGTTCAGGCGAACCGGTACAAACCGGCTGAATATCAGCTCTGTCCAGGATCCTTCACCAGTCAGTTGCCAAGCATCTGAATTTTTTATCACACGACCCTGGGGATGCCACAAAGGTCGTAAGTGTGAAAAGTGGCCCTAAGTCGCTTCTATCGGTGCTGGTGTCGCTTCAAACGGTCACTAAACGAAGCGTCGTAAAGTCGAGGACTGCGTGTAGCAAACAGACGAATTTCCAAAGCCACCCCCCTCTATAGGGACGAATACAGGTCCATTCTTCCTCCCTTCCCCCTTTTAAAAGCCCCCCCCCCACCCTTGAATTTCCCGGGACATAAATGGCCATGTCCCCGCAGCTAGAAATCCAGCAGCTCAGCTCAACGGCCAGACGCAAAACGGGTAAAGTCCCTGTTTTTTTTTGTTTTTTTTAATAGACTACTCAGCTACTTTTCTCCACGTTTTTAGACGGCTTGATCTGGCCCGTGCTCCGAGTCCGGCTGGCGGCTTTTTTTTTATCCGGCGAAAAAGTGAGGGACTTGGATTTGGTGTTGGGCGTGAGGGCGCTTTTGCCCGCCTCCGGCGTGCGGGGTCCGCAGATGGCCTCCAGGGCCTTCAATTCGGTGGTGGGCTTCTCCGCCAAGAACTTCAGCACCCACGAGACCTTCAGGATCTCCAAGATGTTCAGCCGTTTCGAGGCCGGGCGCAGGATGCGACGGATCAAATCCTGGAAGGAGATGCATTTTTATTTATTTGAAACTAGCCGATAATCCGGTGTTGCTCGGGTATTTATTTATTTATAGGGGGGAAATATCCGGACCAAACGTAATTTCTAATGTTGGATTTCCTCCCTTGTGGAGTACTGTGAAACCGTTACCATGGCAACGCCACTGCACTGCACAAGAGAAGCCATTTTACAGCAGTACGGTAGAAGCCGTTTTAAGGCACAACAGGCTGTATCTTAACAGAACACACACCCCAAGGGGTTTTAGGAGTGTCTTACCCCCCACAATATTTGTTTCCAGAGGGCAAGTCATCTGTGTACCAAGTTTGGTTGAGATTGCTCCAGGCGTTCCAGAGTTATGCTGGAACGTACACACAGACGTTTTTATATATTTAGAATAACAAGAATAAAAATATTTTAAATTTTCGTCATTCGCATTTCGTTTTTGGCTCTCTTTCGGCCATCTTTCTTTCACGATGCTATTCCACCCTTTCTTGATATTTGTGTAACTCTTGTTGTCCAGTGGCGAGTTGGCTGTGGTGAGTTAGTAACAGAATAAGAGTTGAAAGGGACCTTGTAGGTCATCTAGTCCAATACCAACACCCCACTCAAGGAGAGGACCGTACACCATTTCTGACAGATGTCAGTCCAAACTCTTCTTCAAAGATTCTAGTGGTGTCCAGACACACACACACACCGGCCCCCACTGGGAAGGGAGCAAGGCTCAGCCCTGCTGGACAGTCAATTTTCTAAGTGGCTTAGACCCCCCCACACACACAAAAAAATCTGCTAAAGTTAAAAGAAGGCATTTGGAAGCAAAAGAAGAGTGGGATGAATGAAAGAGAGAGGGGACTGAGGAGAAAGGTAGCTGTGAGGGACGGAAGGCGATGGGGATGGATGGACGAGTGGAGAGATAATTAAAACAAAAAAAACAGGAAGGAAGGGAAGGAAGGAATGAGAAGAAAGGAAGTAGATAGGAATGAGAAGGAAGGAAAGGAGGGAGGGAAGAAATAGAGGGAAGGAAGGAGAAAAAAAGAAAAGGAGAGAAGGGAAAAAAGAATAAGAGGTGAGGAATGGAAGGAAGGGAGAAGAGGGATGAACGAAGGAGGAAGAAAGGAATGAAGTAGTAGGAGAGAAGGAAGAGGAGTGAGTGAGGAGGGAGGGAAGGAAGGAAAGGGAAAAGTGAGGGGGAGGAAAAGGGAGGGAGGGAGGAACAAAGGAAGTGGGAGAGACAAAGTGAGGGGAAGAATGATGAGGGAAGGAAGGAAAGGGAGGAAGGAAGGAGATAGGAATGAGGAGAAAGGAAGAAAGGAATATCGGAATGAGAAGGAAGGAAAAGGGAGGGGGAAAAATAAAGAAGGAGAAAGGAGGATAGAAAAGGAGGGAGGGAAGTAAGGAAATGAAAGGGAGGAGGGATGGAAGGAACAGAGAAGACGGGATGAACGAAGGAGGGAGGAAGAAAAAAATGAAGGAGTAGTGGGAGAGAAGGAGAGTGAGTGAGGATGGAGGGAAGGAAGGAAAGGGTAAAAAGAGAAAGGGAGGAAGGAACAAAGGAAGTGGGAGAGACAGTGAGGAAGAGAAGGAAGTGGGAGAAGAAAGGAGAATGACGAGTGGAGGGAGGGAGGGAGAGAAGAAAGGAAGGAAGGAAAAAGGAATTAATAGTGGAAGGGGAGTGAGAGCAGGAATGACAGGAAATGGAAAGGGAGGAGGGAGAAAGGGAGGGAGGAACAAAGGAGAAGTGGGAGAGAAGGAGAAGGAGGGAGAGAAGGAGGGACAGAGGGAGGAGAGATGGAAGAAAGAAAGAAGGAAAGAGGAAGGAGAAAGGAATGAGAGTAGGAGAGAAGGCAGTAAGGGGAGGGAGGAGGATAGGAAGGAAAGGGGAAAGAATGGAAGAGAGGGAGGTAGGAAGGAAGAGGGAGGAAGGGAAGGAACTCCACACATCTGCAGCCTGCCAAGGTGGAGAAATCCCCAGTTTGGTCGTAACTGTAGGCCCCATCATCCCCAGCCAGCAAGGCCCAGAGGGTTAGGGTTAGGGTTTCCCCCCTCACCTTAATCTCGTCGTTGATCTGGACGTGGCTGGGGAAGTTGACCTCCTTCTGCGTCTCCCGGAGCAGCTTCTTGAGGTTGGTGTCGTCGAAGGGCAGGTGGGCCACCACCAAGGTGTAGAGGATGACCCCCATGCTCCAGGTGTCGGAGAGGAAGGGGTTGTAAGGCAGGCCAAGAAGGATCTCCGGGCAGGCATAGGCAAAGCTGCCACAGTAGGTCTGGCTGAGGTGGGAGAAACAGCTCATCATGCGGTACGACGGGGTGGGCGGGGGCTGCGTCTGGGGGGCCACCATCTTGGAGAAGCCGAAATCCGAGATCTTGATGTTCTCCCGCTTGTCCAACAACAGATTCTCCAGCTTCAAATCCCTGCCGGGCCGAGAGAGGAGAGGTGAAGCCAAGGCCAACCACACAACTAACTGGGCGTGGCCCGCCAGCGGCCAGCAGAGCTGGCTGCAGATTCGGACAGTGAGCAGGTTGGGGAAGGAACATGGACCAGTCCTGGAGTCTGGGGAAGACTCTGATGAGGGCTCCGTGTTGGAGGCAGAGAGCGAGGCCAGAGCCGTCCGACAGTTATCAGCTGCCTTCAGAGTCGGACATCAGTGAGGCAGAAGAGCAGCTGGAGCCTGTTCCCAGTGTGCGCATGCACAGAGTTGCCAGACGACGGGAGCAGCTAAAGGAACCAGGGTCGACTTGGGAGTAAGGCCACAGGGGGGTGGCAGGGATGGTTTCCGGCAGGCACTACTCATGGCCGAGCGCGCATGTGCACTTCAATAAAAATTGTTCTGTGCATGCGTAGAAGCCAAAAACAAGATGGCGGGGCCTATGGCGCCACCGAGAGAACCGGTTCGGGGGTGTGGAAGGCCTGGGTCGCTGCTGGTTCCAGACACCCAGGTTACGAAACCACTACTGCTTCGGCCGAACCGGTAGGAACCCACCACTGGTGGATGGTGAATGGCCCCTCCCAGAGGGAATAAAAGAGGAGCGACAGGGGAGTGGAGTTTGCAGGAGACAGTTAGTTCATTCCTGCATTCTTGCCAAGTACTGGCTGGCCGCTCCCCAAGCCTGATCAAGGTCGGTAATTGTGAACTATCTAAAGGGGTTTATGGGGATGAGGACTCAGCTTCGTGCTGTTGGGGAAGCCGAGGTCAGAACACGGACCTCCAAATCCTGCCGCGCGCAGTCCTCGACTTACGACGGGGACCTTTGGAAGTTACGACAGCACTGAAAAAAAGGGACTTTTGATGACCGTTGTTCACACTTACCACCGTGTCCGCATCCTCATGGTCACGTCATCCGAATTCAGACACTTGGTGAATGATTCGTATTTGTGACGGTCCCATGGGGTGGCGTGGACATTTTTGTGGCCTTCAAGGTGGGGTGGGGGGGTCCAGATTTGCTTAACAACCATGTGACTAAGTTTAAAAACTTCAGTGATTCACTTAACAACCATGGAGGAAAGGATGTAAAAGGGGGCAAAACAATTATCTCCCTTAGCAAAGAGAAATCTGGGCCTTCATTCTGGTCGTAAGTCGAGGACGGCCTGTATTTTTCTGAAGGCGGCCAGAGTTGCGTGATTTGTAGGTAGTCCTCCACTTATGACCACATTTCTGTGGCTAAGGGAGACCGTTGTGAAGTGAGGTTTGCCCCATTCTACGACATTTCTTGCCACAGTTGTTAAGTGAATCACTGCAGTTAAGTCAATCACACGGTTGATAAGTGAATCCGGATTCCCCATTGACTTTGCCGGACAGACGGTCGCAAAAAGAGACCACGTGGCCCCGGGACACTCAACCGTCATAAATACGAGTCCGTGGAGAAGGGTCTGAATTTTGACCACATGGCCATGGAGAGACTGCAACAGTCATAAGTGTGAAAAATGGTCATAAATTGCTTTTTCCAATGCCGATGTAACTTTGAATGGTCACTAAATGAACCGTTGTAAGTCAGGGACTACCTTGTATCACCCATTTCCCAATAAAAGTAGCCCTCCATTGCTAAGGAACTCGGGGAAGGGAGGAGGGAGGGAGGGAAGGAGAAAGGAGAGAAAAGAAGAAGGGGGAAAATGCTATAAAAGAGGAAGGAAAGAATGGATGGTGGGAGGGAGGATGGATAGAAGGAAAAAAGGGAGGGAGGGAAGGAAGTAAGAAAAGAGGAAGGAAAGAAGGGATGGAGGAAGGAGAAGAAAGGAGAAAAGAGGAAGGAATTAAAGGATGGTGTCAGGGAAGGAGGGAGGAACAAGGGAGAGCGAGGGACGGAGGGAGGGAGGAAGACAGGAGGACAGAAAGAAAGGGAGGGAGGGAGGAAGATAGAAAAGGAAGGAAAGGAGGGAGGTAAGGGAGGAAGGAAGAAAGGAGAGGGAAGGAGAAAAGAAGGAAAGAAGGGATGGGAGGGATGAACAGGGGAAGAAGGGAGGGACGGTGGTAGGGAGGAAGATGGAAGGAAGGAAAGAGAGGGTGGAAGGAAGAAAGAAAGGGAGGGAGGGAAAGAAGTAAGAAAAGATGAAGGAAACAGAGGGGGAGAGGGTGGAAGGGAGAAAGAAAGGGAGGGAAGAAGGAAAGAAGGGAGGGTGGGTGGATGGAAGGGAGGGAGGGAAGGAAGGAAGAAAAGATGGAGAAAACGGAGGGAGGGCAGAAGAAAGAAAGGGAAGAAGGAAAGAAGGGATGGGAGGGAGGAACAAGGAAGAGAGGGAGGGACAGTGGTAGGGAGGAAGACAGAAGGAAGAAAAGAAAGGGAGGAAGTAAGGGAGCATACAGAAAGGAAAGAAGAGAGGGTGGAAGGGAGGGAAGTAAGTAAGAGAGAGAGCGAGGGAGGGTGGAAGGAAGGAAGAAAGGAAAGTAGGGATGGTGAGATGGAGGGAGGGAGGAGGCACAATGGATGGAGGGACAGTGGTAGTGAGGAAGTCGGAAAGAAGGAAGGAAAGGCAGGAAGGCAGAAAATGGATAGAAAGCAGGGAGGGAAAGAAGGAAGGAAGGAAGGAAAGAGGGAAGGGATGGAAGGAGGAAGTTTCACCCATAAACTTCCCAAGGTTGGGAAAGATTTCCTGTGAAAACGAAAGAGAGGCAGTGTGGTGTTCGATTCCTGAGTGGCCTACCTCAAAGGCCCGGAAGAACATTGACTCCAACGGAATCAGTCGAGATCCCGATTCCGGACCTCCGTTCGAAAGCCAGCCAATTAAAAAACCCCAAGGAAGCCTTGAACTCCCCACCCCTCCCCTCCAATCCCTCTCACCGATGCACGATGCCCTTGCCATGCAGATAGGCGATGCCCAGGGTCAGCTGCGAGAACCACTTGCCAGCCAGCGCTTCCGAACAGGCCCCGGATTTCTGGATCCATTCTAAGACATCGCCGCTTGGTGCCAACTCCATGATGATGTAATGGCGGGAGGTGGTCTCGATGGCCTGGTAGAAACTGATGACGTATTTGTGACGGAGGCTCTTCATCACCTGGAAAAGGAGAGAAGGCGTGTGTGTGTGTGAGCCGAGGTGGCGCAGTGGTTAAATGCAGCACTGCAGGCTACTGCTAGATCAGCAGTTCAGCGGTTCAAATCTCACCGG